CTGTAGCGAAAATGCCAGCAACGATCTATGTGTATAGGATACAATGGTCCATTCTTTTAATCATGGCGCTTGCGATAGTCCAAACCAAGGCTCAAACGACAACCACTACCACAACAACTCAGCTTACAACCAATGCTGCAACAAATCAACCTACAACGAAAGGAACGACAAAACTGCCTATAACAACAATCATTACAACTCAGCCTACAACTATGAGCACTAAAACACAGACCACAACCACAGCCAAACTGCCTACAACTATGTCAACAACTACTCAGCCTACAACCACAGCCGCAAATACTTGGTCTACAACCAGGGCCACAACAACTGAGCCTACAACCACAACCACGACAGCTCTGACAATACAACCATGGTCACTACAACTGAGCCAACAACCACGGCCACCACAACTCAGGCTACAACCACGGCCACTACAACTCAATCTTCAACCACGGCCACTACAACTCAATCTTCAACCACGGCCACTACAACTCAATCTACAACCACGGCCACTACAACTCAACCTACAACTCAGCCTACAACAATTGCCACTACAACTCAGTCTACAACCACGGCTACTACAACTCAGCCTACTACTACGGCCACCACAACTCGGCCTACAACCACGGCCACCACATCTCAGCCTACAACCACTGCCACTAAAACTCAATCTACAACCACGGCCACTGCAACTCAGCCTACAACCATTGCCACTACAACTCAGTCTACAACCATGGCTACTACAACTCAGCCTACAACCACGGCCATCACAACTCAGCCTACAACCACTGCCACCACAACTCAGTCTAAAACCACGGCCACCACAACTCAGCCTACAACCACGGCCTCTACAACTCAGCCTACAACAACGGCCACTACAACTCTGCCTACAACCACGTCCACCACAACTCTGCCTACAACCACGTCCACCACAACTCTGCCTACAACCACGGTTGCTACAACTCAGCCTACAACTACGGCCACTACAAGTCAGCCTACAACTACGGCTACTACAACTCAGCCTACAACTACGACTACTACAACTCAGCCTACAACTACGACCACCACAACTCTGCCTACAACCACGGCCACCACAACTCAGCCTACAACCATGGTCACTACAACTGAGCCAACAACCACGGCCACCACAACTCAGGCTACAACCACGGCCACTACAACTCAATCTTCAACCACGGCCACTACAACTCAATCTACAACCACGGCCACTACAACTCAACCTACAACTCAGCCTACAACAATTGCCACT